CCTCGAACGGTGCCTGACTACAGGGGACTCCAGCAACATAGCCATTACGCTAACTGCTGGTCCCAAGAAATACTTCTTTTCAACATAGAAAATACTATCACATTAGTACAAACGTCTATGATAGTTCTCCAATGAAATAAATTACCATTTTTCAGCATAAGACAAAAGAAATTAATATAAGTAGATAATGATGACTACATTTCTTGAAGCTCACAAAATATATATTATGGAATACTTTTTTTTGTTACTTTCATATTTACATATTATAGTCAGATTTTATTTAATTAATTTTGATACCTGTAAATGGAAATAATTTTTTCACTTTAAATAATTCTGCAAAATCTTTCCAAAATATATTATAAAAGATTGGAAATTAATCTGTTTTCTTTCATACAGTATCTCTCAAATAACAGCTTAAAAATTAGAGAGTCTGGGACCAGCAGTTAGCGTAATGGCTATGTCACTAGACTCCCACGTAGTCTACTGCAGTTCGCATCCCGGACCCAGTGGCTTAAACTCATGCCGGGCGCATGTGCATGCGTGCCCAAGATCCCAAGAGGAGAATGGAGGAGAAGGGATTGTGGCATGGCCATCCCCCCTGGGGGGTGATTTCTCACTTTCTGTCTCTCTTTCTCTGTCTGTCTGGTGAGCGCACGCGCCCTATAGCAAAAACCTCTCCAAAAAAAAAAAATTAGAGAGTCTGAAGAAGTTCTACTTCAATCATTTCCAAAAAGTTCCTTAAGAAGTTCTCTTTTTGAGAGAGAGAATTTTGCTACTTGGCACATGCACTTACTGGTGAGAGAGAGAGAGACAGAAAGCAAGAAATCATCTCCAAGAGGGGATGGCCACACCTCAATTCCTTCTCTTCATTTTCCTCACAGGATGGGCACACATACACAAGTGCCAGGCTTGAGTACTGGGGGGTTTTTTTGAGAGATTTTTGCTACAGGGCACGTGCGCTCACCAGAGACAGACAGAAAGCGAGAAATCACTCCTCAAGGGGGGATGGCCACACCGAAATCCTTTCTCTTCTATTCTCCCCCAGGGATCTTGGGCATGCACACACACAAATTCACTCAGCATTGTTTTTTATAAGCCGCTAGTCTGGGACTCAGACTGCGGTCAGCTATGTGGAGCCCAGCACCGTAATCATTACGTGATCTGCTGGTCCTCCATTAAGACATCCTTAACAAAGTAGAAGAGAGTAGATTCTTCCAAAGGAGCAGGTTACCATATGGATGATCACTAGCTTTGACGGTGATGTCTGTTGTTTCCTTTTCAGGATCTATGCTCGCACCACTGGTGGGGGTCGAACCCAGTTTCCCATCTCCAGGAATCGCAGAAACCAACGTCACGCGGAAATATTCATTAAGCTCAGGAATATCATCGTCAAGAACATATATATTCAGGACCTATAAATGTAAAAACCCAGAGGCACTAAGGACTGAGGCATGCAGAAATTATCCACCAAAGGAAAATAAAATACCCAATTAAATTTTTTTTAATGAAATCAGGATTTAACATAACGTATTTCCAGAAACGCTGAGTGTGTATTTGTATGTGTGTGTGTACATACATAACACATACAAAAAGAGAAATCTGAAGAGATAAATTCCTTTAACAATAATGGGTAAATATTGGAATAGCGCCTCAAAATTCCTATGTTAAAATCTAACCCCCAAGGTGATAGCATTGAGAGGCAAGACATTTAAGGAGGTGACCAGGTCTTCAAGGTGAAGCCATCCTACATGGGCTCACTGCCCTGACAGAACAGGCCCCCTAGAAGCTTGTCCACCCCTTCCACCGTGTCAGGACATGTCGAGAAGGTACCATGTGCATGAAGCAGAGAGTGAGGCCTTGCTGGACGCTAAACCTATGGGCACCTTGATCATGGACTTGTAGCCTCCAGAACAGCAGTGCATTTCTGCTGCTTATAAATTACCTGTGTATGGAATTTTGTTACGGCAGTCCAAAACAGACTAAGACAGGTGCTGAGCAGTAACATTTTCTGTCAATACCATATCATTTACGATACATAATAATAGATATATCAACATAATATATTCTTTGTATCAAAGATAATGGCATGCCGACCTCAGACTTTAAGGTGGTTCCTTAACCATCATTAAGGATAGAATGTGGTAGGGCAGTAAGGAAGGACAACATACACCTATCTAGTGTCTGCCTGCTACAGTTTGGATGTCCCCCGAAAATTCATGTTGGGGGACTTGCTTGTACTGTACATGTGTTAAGTGAAAATGGTTTCTTCGTGTTGTCCCAAGATGGGGCTTAGACAAACTGAAGAATCCTAAGCAGGAGACGGACAAATCAGAGTGCTGTTACCATGGCAGAATGCAAATAAAATGGACAGAGCAAGAAAGGATGCAAGAGGATCCGCTAGGAGAGGGCTGACCAGGAATAATGAAACTCCAAATTACTACAGTAACAAAAGAAACAAGAAAAAATGGATAGATCAAGATTTGTCTGGAGGTAGAATGTGCCAGTCTGATGACTCACTTAGCATGGAGAGAGAGCGAGGCGGGGAAGAATGAAGGGCGACTTCCTGATTTCTCCCAGAACGAAGAGTGTCAACAGTCTGAAAACAAACTCTAAATCCAAATGCCATTGCCCAAACCCTGATCAGTGAGCCTAAAGGCACCTGGGCAACTTGGTTTTTAATACGCAGTTTACGTAACAGCATGTCTCAAGTCTCAAATATACACAAAAAAATAACACATAGTTTTTCTAGAGATTTTTAATTCTCTAGAGATTCCCAAGAAAACCCTGAATTTGGTTTTTAATGTTCACTTTCATTTTATTTTAATTTAAAGAGTTACATATGGCATAGCCAATGTGCTCAGAGAAATTAAAAAATGGTATATGTTACCAAAATCATGTCCTTATTGTTGAACTAACAGGAAAAATAAATTTAAAACTACTAGAAGGAATATTTTAATTATTGACTAGAACATTTACAACTATTTTACTTTTATCAAATTTGGATTATCATGTATCTCTTCCAAATGTATATGTATTTACTTTATGAAACGATTGATCCTAGTTACCATTTTATTCCATAGTTGGTAAATTTTCTATGAGAAAATTTAGAGTATCAAGTCTGTTTTGTAAATTAAGAGCATTAAAAAATTACCACATACTGTTACAATTACTTACCTTAAAAGAAATGGCACTTTAAATCCAAGAAAAAAATAGAAAGACAATGCATCAAAATTAAATATAGTCCTACACAGACTGAATAATTCTAGTTTTATGAAAACTAATTAGTTGTTGGGAACCAGCAGTTAGCGTAATGGCTATGTCACTGGACTCCCACATAGTCGACCGCGGTTCACGTCCCAGACCCGGTGGCTTAAAACTCACGCAGGGCGTGTGTACGTGTGTGCCCAAGATCCCGAGAGGAGAATGGAGGAGAAGGGATTGCGGTGAGGCCATCCCCCCCTGGGGGGTGATTTCTCGCTTTCTGTCTCTATGTCTCTCTCTGTCTGGCGAGCGCACGTACCCTATAGCGAAAAACCTCTCCAAAAAAAAAAAAAAAGAAAATGAAAACTAATTAGTTGTTCTAATTTTACATACATTAGTAAAACCTTTCTCCCAAACCTGGTACAGACTACTACTACAGGGGAACTGCTGTTATAATGCCAACTATTTCCTTCTTCATCTAAATTACAGAGATTTGTTTTATTCTTCTTTAGCTTTAATCCTTTAAATCTTAAGAATATTTTAATCTTTCCATCAATTTTATGTTTTTTGTCCAGCTGATTTCTAAATCCTTTAAAAACTCTCTCAGAGATTATTTATTAGTATGTGCAAGCTTTAAGTTCATTTGCTTGAATCCCTGGTGGCCTCTATGTTCTTTTCATGTCAACTAAAATAAATCTTAAAAAAAAAAAAAATACTGATACAAATATTCCAACAAAATCAATGAACAGTGTTAAAATGTTTGATACAGGAGGAAACCTCATCCTGATTTCACTTACGGAGAGTGTCATGTATTCATGGATCATCGATTCAGAAATATGACCATGATTCATAGAAAATGTGTGGTTGTTTGTAAAAAGCAGTATTTTCTTTCTTTTCCTTTTTTTAATTGTTTTTAGTTTATTCTTTCTATGAAAGAGAGATACAAGGAGAAAGGCACTTGCAGCAGGGTCTTACTGCTACAATCCACCTCTCGTCTCGGTTGGCCCAGACCATGGGCAAACACCCCACACACCCAGAGAGGTCCCAGGATGTGAACCCAGGACCTTTCTATGTAAATCCAGTTGTGTTTACAGCTGTGCTACCACCTGGCCTGGCCTTCATAGAAAGTTTTCAATAAAGCTGAAAGTCACATATTTTTGAAACACAGAAAAGTAGCCTCTTTTTTCCCAATTTAATATAAAAGAAAATCAGATTACAAGAATTTCACAGAGCCAGCAGGTGGCATGGTGATTAAGGCACTAGACTCCCATATGGCCAACTGTGGTTCAAATCCTAGCCACAGTGGCTTGCTTTCTTACTTTCCCTCTCTCTCTGTCTCCTTCTGTGGTGAACTAAAATCATACTAATAATTAATAAAATTAAATAATTATTTAAAAAATCATTTCTCACTGGCTGACTGGAAAAGCGCTATGAAGAATTTTGTGGTTTCCTATCGTATCAGTAATAACAAAAACGCACAAGGATGCACTTTCAGGCTATCCATTTTTATTACATTGAGATTAAAGAACAGATCAAATAATAACGCACACACTATTCAAAACTCTTCATTTTTCATTTGCATAAATAAAGACAAAAATATTTTATACTATATCACATTCCTGGTCCTGCCAACATTTTAAATTCCTTAAATAAAAAGTAAATGCAAAGAAATTACAGACCAAACACATCAGAAAAAGCTTGCCAAGAGGCTCACAAAGGAACAAAGAAGGTGGGGTGTATTACCTCTGATCTCTGCCAAGGAAGGAATGTGATAGTTCCACTGGCGTTGGCAAAATCATCCACAAGGTAATTAATGCTGTCAGACTCGATCTGTGAGATGGTGTAAAAAACATGCACGTAATCCAGGGCTCCTCTGGTTCTCTCCACAACACATGAAATGGTGGAGCCCTCCTCAGCAATCTGAAATTGAACATAAATTATTTATGACTACATTCCGACTCAAATCAGTAATAAAACTGCAATGCTTTTGTGAAATTCTTTCATCATAAACTTAATTTTATAACTTCCTACCTCTTTAGAAAGGATTAAGGAGGTCTCTACATGACCCCCAATATATTTTTGACTACTAAGAAACATTTATAATTAGTCCTTTTTTCCCATTCCTTTATAGGGCAAAAGAATTATATGAATTTTCAAGGACATGCAAATATTCATCCATTATTGTTTGAGGAATTAGTCTCCTCAGATTTCTCTTTTTCTTTCTAATATATAAGTATGTTCAGAGCCATTATTTTGTCTATTTTTGTATATATAACGGATAGAAATTTTCACTGAAAAGAATGTTTTAAAGTTTGTATCTTAAGAAAGAGAGATTTACCCTCGACAGAGTCTTACCATGCTGTGACTCAACGTTCAGTCTTTTAGCCAGGCAGGATCACATTTGTGGGTATACCTGAAGGATTCAGGTTGACCCAGGACCCAAACCCAGGCCCCCTCCTACGGCTCCAGTGTCACACAGCAGTGCCCTAGCACCTGAGCCACCATGGCTGGGCCTGAGAAGATTTTAATTCAGCTTTTTGCTTCACCCCTCTCCCAGCCAGAGAGTCTGACCTAGGAATAGGGTCCCAAACCAGAAATGATATCAAATAATATGCATTAGATATTTCTAACCAACATTTTGAGAAATATTAGACTACAGAATGCAATTATTAATACAGAAGATAATTGAGACAGAGAGAGTAAATATAGAAAACCTTTTCCTGATATTAAAATATTCAGAGGTCAGCAGGCGGCATGGTGGTTAAGGCACTGGACTCCCACATGGCCAAACACAGTTCGAGTCCCAAACCTGACAACTTGCTTTTTCATTTTCCCTCTCTCTGGTGAGTGCACATTGCCCTGTAGCAAATTTTAAAAATAATAATAATATTAACCAAAATTAAATAAATTTTAAAATATATTAAAATATTCACCTACCTGGCTTTAGAAGTATGATACAAACATTTAGGTGACTATATGAAAGGGTGTAATATCTATAATAATCACCAAACTATGCTTGCTGACCTTCTCTAGAAATAAAAATGTTCACTACTGTTCCCTCTTTTGAGTCAGGAAACTACCAAATCTTCAGATCAAGCAGAAGAGTGACATGAAAGATAAATAATTGAAGAGTTTTTGAAATCTATTTTCCTAGATAAAATAATGCAGTATTCTAAGCCATGAACTAGCCTTCTCCATTGAAATTGACGATGAAAGCTAAACAATTACAAATCCAATTAATTTTTAATTTTGTTTCATGCTTGGGTGATGATCTGTGATATCAGATTATCTCAGTATCGCTTAAATCTAAGGCATCTAGTCACATAACATATGGCAGACACTGTAAAACAAATACGGTCTATGCTGAAATAACTGTCTTATTTTTCACGGAGATCTTCCCAAACTGTAGATTGATTCTTACATCAGGAGTTGATAAATACTAGTTATAAAAAAGAATAGAATGGGATTAGCAAATTCTGTGCATCACTATGGAATGCAATCTCATTCATTTTTAATCATGCAGTGTACAATTTTACAAGACACACAAAAATAGTGCTAAAATAAGGTAGGAAACAACATAAGAAATACACAGAACAACAAAATATGAGGAACCAACAAGAGACGGTGGTTACCAGGCTATCAGTCTAACAAAATCAGTCACCCGCTCAGCACAGCTTCCACGTGGACTCCAAAGCACTGTCTGGCAGGCCTCAACAGGGCCCTCACCCGGGTTTATTCATTATTTCAGTTATAATGTATTAAGCACTTTCTATTTACAGGACACAGCCATGTCTTTCAATAGGCTAAGGCGCAGACTATGTCATATTCTGCGTATTGTCCCTATTTGTAAAAGATGTCATTGCTACCACTCGACATGACTTTATGCCTTATGAATCCAAGAAAAACGTAAGAGGGTAACATACCCAGGGAGACAGCATTACCGGATCTCTACTGTCTTTGGATATTTTGACTAAGAAAGAAATTAAATTTTCGATGTCACTGCAACAACGTAATGAAGAAATCTATGGAAGTGGCAGTAGTTTTTCTTTTCTGAAAATGAATGAGGTGACCGTAAAATGTAAACTCTCAAGACTGTTCTGGGCAGACAGGAAACCAGATGTTCTCCAGTGTTTTAGTTTCAGAATCTCTAAACACTCATAAAAATTGGCCAGCCACCATGACACAGTGGTGACACAATACTCTGTGATGATGAGGCAGATGGAAGGTCCAACGGTGTTCCTGTGCCCTCTCGATGCATGCGTGCCCATGGTCCTGGCTGACTGAGGCTGGGGTTTGGCTCGAGGTATGAAGACCCTGCTGGAGATGCCTCTCTTGCTCTCTCTCCCTTTTTCATGGAAGAAATAAGTAAATAAACTTAAAAAAACCTCCAAGCATTTTTTTGCTTATGTTGTTGAAGTCTAAAAATATTTGTTATAATATAAATAAAAACAATTATAGATTGATGTTATTTTAAAATAACAATAATAAGATGGGTGTAATGACTGTCACTGAACTCCCATGTAGTTGACTGTAGTTCAAGTCCCGGCTTAAACTTATACTGGATACGTGTGCGTGTGTGCCTAAGATCCCGAGAGGAGAATGGAGGACAAGAGATTACGACATGGCCATCCCCCGGGGGGGTGCTTTCTCATGTTCTGTCTCTCTGTTTCTGTCTTTCTGGTGAGTGCACATGCCCTATAGCAAAAACCTCTGCAATAAATAAATAAATAAATAAATAAATAAATAAATAAATAAATAATAAATCTATTAATTGCTAACATAGGCAATGTATCTTTATGAGAAATAAATATGTATTCCAAAATAAAATAATTAGTGGTGGGGCCAGCAGGTGGCATAGTGGTTAAGGCACTGAACTCTTACATGGTCGACCACAGTTCAAGTCCCAGACCTGGTGGCTTACTTTTTAACTCTTTCTTCCTCTCTCCTCTTTCTGATGCATGCACATGCCCTATAGCAAGTTAAAAATAATAATAATAAACTTTAAAAATTAAATGCCTAATTTTTAAAGATAATAATTAGGTGATAGTGGGGCATTGTCATATTTCCACAGATCTGGCTTAATCAAAAACAGCTGAATTCTCATTTCTCCTGCAATCAATGTGTCTATTTCCATCTGTTATTTGCTTGAAGTAGATAAAGAAAATCTAGTCCCACATAGATACATAACTGGAAAAGGAAGAGGACTTTAATAGTCTTTTCATACAATTGTGGGTATTTTTCCTAGATATTATGCCAAAATTTAATGACTCACAGTTTCTTGGAGTTTAGTTGCACTGTGAGAGTATACTGTATTACATTAAAATTCACTGGCCTATCTAGCACTTTGGGTCCATCTTTTTCCCATGCTTGATTTTGTAACAACATACATTGGTTATTTGGAAAATATTGGCTTACTGAGTTATACTATACGACTCTCGAAAATGTTGATGTATTTCATCATACAAAATAATCACACTGGTTATTATCACAATCAAGTCTTTGAGTAATAGGATACAGTCAACTTTACTTTGGCATCAAAAAGTGTTTCAAAGTTTACATTTTTTTTTCAATTAGCAATAATCGCGCCTCGGATAAACCTCATTCGCTACGATACTTCCACTGCGCAAAGCTAAAGTTTACATTTTTTTTGAAAAATTGAATTTTTATCATCAGCATAAAGACTGTAAACTGTTTTCTTTGCAATCACTGGTTCGCTCCCTTTTCATGAAAATGTCTGCCCTGCCAAAAACTCAAGTCCAAATAACCAAAATATTTCAACCATTTTTCAAAAAAAAAAAAAAAAAAAAACAGTATCTAATTTCAACTAGTTCCACCAGTAAATCAAAATCTACACAGGACCAGCAGATGGTGTAATGTTTATGTTGCTGGACTACCACGTGGTAGATCACAGTTTAAGTCCTGGACTTGGAGGCTTAAAACACAACAGGCACGTGTGTGTGTGTGCGCAAAATCCCAAGAGGAGAATGGAGGAGAAGGGATTGTGGCATGGCTATACCCGGGGGGAAGGGGGTGATTTCTCGCTTTCTGTCTCTCTCTCTCTGCAAGCGCACATGACCAATAGCAAAAATCTCTCAATTAAAAAAAAAATCTACACAACTACTTTTCATTGAGACAACTGTTAAGTTTCAGAATGCTGGAGAAGAGCCTTTTTTGTGCTTCTCATTTTGTAACATCCAATATTTAAAAAGATGGGTATTAAGGAGTTGATATTTTATAAAATTAGTATTTTTTACTGCCTGATCAGAGATGTACTGTTACGTGAAATAAGTACTTTCTAAATAATGGTGTGTGGTGGCAAATGATGACTGGTGCCATTTGGTTCCACTACCTTGATTCATGTTAATTTGCTAGCAGCCTTTGCAGTGCAAATGTCAATAAAATGAAAAAGGCAAATAACATCCAAGTATTTGTTTGTTTTTTTTTTTTTTGGGGGGGGGGGTGTTGCCATAGGGTGCATGCACTTACAAGAGAGACAAAGAGAGACAGAGAGAGAGGGAAATAGAATAGAGGATGGCCATGCTGCAATCCCTTCTCCTCTGTTCTCCTCTCAGGAGTTTGGGCATACATGCACACATGCCTAGTGTGTTTTATAAGCTACCAGGTCCAGGACTCAGATCGAGGAGTCAGCCATGTGGGCTCCATGTGGGCTATTATATGTATATGTAATATATATATATATATATATATATATACACACACACACACACACACACACACACATATATTATTATATACATACATATGTGTATCCATACATTTGTGTGTGCTTTTATATCTGTATATGTACATATATACACATCTATGTGTGGGCTGAATAGTAGAATTTAACACTGTGATCAATGCTATGAAAAAATAATTAAAACTACATCAATAAATGGAGAGTGACATGTTGGAAGAAAAGGGTTAGTTACTTTAAATTAAGAAGTCTTCACTGAGGAGACGCTTTTGAAGCCGACAGCTAAATGACTAAAAATGACAATATGGAATAAGAGTGCTACCATGGAGCGGCAGCAAGTTCTGATGCCTGAAATTTGAACTAAAGCAAGGCAAGTCAGACTGAAATACTGACCAAAGGGGAGAATGACACACAAGAAGTCACAGTTACAGGCAAAAGTCACATCTTGAAGATAAGTGGAGGGAATCTGACTAGACAGGGTACTGCAACAGTTCTCACAACCTCATAGGAGGTATTTACCTTTCCTAAAATAGTGATGATGATATTAAAGATACAGGAACAGTAACAAGTCACAAGATAGGGGTTCAAATTTCAGTTCTCCCCACTGTATCTTAGAAACAAACACACAAAAATAGTAATGATGGAACCCCAGTAACTGTCAAACTCTGAACCAAGCATTCAATCCTCTCTCATTTAATTTTACTAGGGTTGGTTATTGTCTCAGCCTCTAAACCTGTTTTTAACCCTTTAAAATGGAGAGAATAGGCCAGACAGTGTCACAGTGGTAGAAAGCAACATTCTGTGAGGCTGACCCCCACTGCAGGGGGGGGAGGGGTTCAGTTCCTAATCGGAGCTCTCCCTGAGTATGCCAGGCCCACGCATGGCCGTGATCTGGGCTGGGTAGGCTGGGGGTAAGATCACAACACTGAAACTTTGGATGCTACCTGTCTGTCTGCCTTTCTCACTCTCTCTGTCTTATGGAAGAAATAAATATAAAAAAATTATTTTTAAGTAAAGGGAGTACTAATTAATACTACTTTATGGATTATCAGAAAGATGTGTAAGATTTAATACATAAAATTTCTTTTATATATCAAAAGAACTTTAATATGTAAATGGCTGGGTATCTATGTAAATGTATTATCACTATAGGTAAACATATTTCTTTGTAAGTTGCAGATCTGTAAGTCATATATTCTCCCTAGTTTTAGATATGCTATTTCTGATGTTAAAAAAAAAAAAAAGAGCCATTAGAAGATAACCGGTGGCTTAAACTCACGCCGGGTGTGTGTGCGTGCATGCCCATGATTCTGAGAGAATGAAGAAGGGATTGTGGCGTGGACACCTCCCCTGGAGGGTGATCTCTCGCTTTCTGTCTCTCTGTCTCTCTGTCTTTCTGGCAAGTACATGTGCCCTATAGCAAAAACCTCTTCAAAAAAAAAAAAAAAAGGAAGAAGAAGATCCCTTAGTACTCTTGCTAAAACAAAGAGTTAAGGGGCAACAGGACACCCCAGAGAGCCAGACATTGCAAGTTAAGCTACAATGCAGCCTATGACCTAGACATTGTTATTCTATCCATCCGTGTTTTTCTTTTTTTAATAGTTTATTTTTTAATACGTTCAACCACTATATATCACTACGGCTTGTAAAATGAATTTTCCCACCATGAATACACTATGTATTTGTCCAGTTAAAAGTATTATCATACATGTTATCAATAGATAACTTTCCATTTTTATGTCCCATAAATGTTTTGCTTCTTTGTTTTTCCCAATTCCCGTCTTCTCACCTCCCCCCACCATGTTTTCCTTAATCATTTCAATGTGCACCATTCTAAACCTATTAGAATCAACTTGCAAAGGGGAAAGACTCTTGTTCCTTGGCACCCATTCCTGGACACTGGAGATGTTGCTGTCACACGCAACACCTGTGAGGTGCTTCATGAGATCTAATGTTACTGAGCAGGAAACCAAGATGATTACAAATCTTCAAGAACTTGGAAGGGACTGATAAGGACAGTAAAACACCCTAATGAATTAAGCTAGCCAAGAAGATTGATAGGAAGGATTTTCACACCCAACATCAGAATAATGTTCTTAACTATGCAACCATTTCATATGTGGGGATAAGAAACACTTTTTAAAATCCTATTTCAATAAAGCTTCAATTATAATTATTTATACAAGTTTGAAATATAGATTATTTACTTATTTATATGGTATCCAAAAATAGTAGCCAGAAGAAAATCATATGCAGAGTTTAATTTATACTCTTTGAAGTGCATTAACTTTAAAGCTAACTATAAAGTATCATTTGCCAGCTTCTTCCTCTATCAACTCATTAAGCTGATTCCTAATAGCAGGGATCTTGTGATGTGTATTTCCAACCACTAGCTCTAGCAAATTTCTAGACTTAAAGTAGCTGGTCAAGTCGTCTTCCAAATGATAAAAAAAGAAAACCTAGTCCCAAACAAATCCACGATGAATTTTTAACTCCGAAATTCTTCGAGCGCACTACTTACCTCTGGTATGCAAGCTCCCGTGAAGCCGAACAAGCCATTGGCATTGTCACTTTTCTGTATTATTAACCTTGCTGTGGTATTTTCCTCAGAAATGCGGGCTCCACCATACACAGAGACTAGTTTAAGAATAAATAACTCTTCTCCCTCCTCTTCATTGTCATCTCTTGCAGAAACTATGAATGACTTGTTCGTTTCTCCCTGTCTGAACTCCAGATAGCCAGAAATGGGGTGTAAATCACTCTTTGCAGGCATGGCATGAAGTTCATAAATTTCCTCCAGGGTTAGTTTCCGTTCATAGGACCTCACGTCCTGCATTAGCCCAGTAAATCTGTCATTGCCATTCATTCCTGCCCCAATTCTCAGAATTCCAGGACCTGAAATTACACATGGGTTTAAGCACTGCAACATCCACAATTACCCTATCCTAAATTATGAGCGTGGTGTAAAAGGTGGAACAATTTTATTGGGGAGGCAGCTCTATGGCCTAGTAGTTAAAGGAGTCAAAGCCCAAGTGGCCAGCCATGGTTCAGTCCAGGTGGCTTGAAAAACACACTAAGCACATGTATGCCCCAAATCCTGACAGGATGGAGAAATATGGTGTGACCACATTTCACTGGAGGGTGCTTTGAAATGCAGACAGCACACATGTTCATCACAAATCATGTACAAGAGTATTCAGAGGGCTAGCTCCATAGCCTAGTGATTATAGGAGCTGACCACAGTTCAAATCCTGGCTTCAGAGGTTTAAAAAACATGCTGGGCACAGGTACATGTGTACTCAAAATCTTAAAGGGATAGAGAAACAAAAGAGAAGAGGTTGGAGTGTGACCCTGCTCCACTGTGAGAATGCTTTCTCCCTCTCTGTTTCTGTCTCTGTCTGTCTCTCTCTCTCCCTTTGGCAATTAAAAATAATAAGGAAAAAAATAATAACCATACAAATACTGTATGTAGGGGCTGGCAAGTGGTGTGGTGGTTGAGGGCACTGGACTCCCACATGGCCAACTACAGTTCGAGTCCAGGACCTGGCGACTTGCTTTCTCTCTTGTCAAAATAAAAATATAAATAAGTAAAGTTAAATAGAAAAAATAATTCTTTAAAAAAGAAATACTTTACGTAATAATCAATAATTAGAAACAACCCAAATGAAAATTAGAAGTAACATAACAGGACCAGCAGGTGGCATAATGGTTACATCACTGGACTCCCACATGGGACCCAGTGAGGTTCAAGTCCTGGACCTGGTAACTTAAAACTCACACCAGGCGCATGTGTGTGCATGCTCCAAATCCCAAGAGGAGAATGGAGAAGAAGGGACTGCTGTGTAGCCATCTCCCTGTGGGGGTGATTATGCACTTACTGTCTATCTCTCTGGTGAGTGCACATGCCCTATAGCAAAAATCTCTCTAAAAAAATAAAAAAGTAACATAGTGTTATAATTACACATGAGATCCTATGTAGTAATATTCTGAAATATCTACAAGACAGAAATGTGGATGAGCTTCATAAGCAATAGTAAGCAAAAGAAGCCAGAAAGTTAATTGTGCATAGAGTCCAATTATATGTACATGAATTTAAAAACAGAAAAGGCTAAGCTTGGCCTCTTAAAAATGCCAATAGTGTAGCAAGTGGCATGGTTAAGGTACTGGACTCCCACGTGGCCAACCATGGTACGAGTCCCAGACCCAACAGTTTGAAAATCATGCCAGACACATGCGTGTGTGTGTCCAAAATCCCAAGAGGAGATGGGAGAAGGGAATGCAACATGGCCATTCTCCCTGGGCATGATTTCTCACTTTCCCTCTCTCTGTCTCCCCCTTCTCGAGTGCACAAGCCCTATGGCAAAAACCTAAAAAAAAAAAAAAAAAAAAAAAAAAAAAAAACAACAGTAGGCGGGCAGGGTGGTGAATTATCAACTAGAGAAGAGCTAAAAGGGAGAGAGAGAGAGAGAGAGAAACAAACCCCCAACAAGGTCTAGATAGCTGGATCCACTGGCAGCTTCGGCCACTCCCACATCAAGGCTAAGTATGTGCCAGGCGACTCAACTCCCCACACTTGAACCAGGAACCTCCCTGTGTGAGACTGCTTCACAGGGTCAGGTTGTACCACCGTACCACGGTCTGGCTCCTGGAACGTAGCTTCCTGATCTAACGGCTGGTGAAATGAGTGCTGAATTTTAAGTTTTAATAAATCCTTCTGTCTGTACACTTAGGAAATAACTATTTTCATGTGTTTTATAATATAACATACTATATTTTATTGATAACTTTTAAAGATATAGACAGTTTTACATTTCTCTTTGCAAATTAAAGTTACAAAAATAATGTAAGTTTTAAAGCCAAACAGAAAAGAAACACCAGTTCTCAGAACTCCCAAATCTTTTCCACTCTCATTCTATCACCATTACAATCAAAAAGGGTATCAAGGTCAACAGAAGTATGCATGTATTCACACAATCTGAAGGGGATAATTTAATGCCAGAGTGCTGTAAGCGCAGTCCTAGAAGTTGAATTTGGTAGCTATGTGTCATGGTTTTTGTTTTGGAGTTTTGTTTCGTTTTGTTTTATAGGTTTTTTGTTTTCTGTTTCTTTTTTTTTTTTTTTTTGGCCTTCCCCTCCCCCCTGAGAAAAACAAACAAGAAATATACAACCTAGGGGCCTACAGATGGCGTGGTGGTTAAGGGCACCAAACTCCCACATGGCTGACCACGGTTACCCGGACCTGGCAGCTTGCTTTCTCACTTTCTCTTTCTCTCTCTCTTTCTCTTTCTCTCTCTCTCTCTCTCTCTCTCTCCCCCCCCTCCCCCTCTCCCTCTCTGGTCAAGTTAAAATAAATAAATAAATAAATAAAGTTAAATAAAATAATTCTTTAAAAAAAATGACACAACCTGGGGCTGGCAGGTGGTGTGACGGTTTTCCCTATGGCAAAAACTTAAGAAAGAAATAAAAGAAGACACATAAACAAGTAATCAAGTATCTACTGCAAAAGGTTCAGTAGGAAAGTATTTAAGCTATAGCCATACACGCTCTGCTCTCCTTCTTACTAAGTATCAAACAACCGAATCCTAGAATGAAGGGACTGGAAGGAAACGGTGCCTATAACGGGTAACCAGTATCCATGTGTGCACAGGCGCACGCTGTTTCTCAAGAAAAGTGCATATGATCCAGTTTAGAGAAAACAAAGATGATCTCTTCCAAACCTCCCTAACACTGACCAATTTGCCTCTTGATACTCTAAGTGCCATTAATTTTTTTAATGAAATTTTTCTCTTCTGATTCCTTTCAGCCTTATGCCCACCACCCTCCTCCTGCAGTAATGTTGAACCGGAGGCATTTCCCCAGGTACAATGTACTGTTTCACATTTCCACACCTTTCCTCATTCCTCTACCTGAAATTTCATTCCCCGTTCTTCCTGCTAGCCACAGAGGGAATAAATGTTCCTCCTTCACATTTTTTTCTTTCTTCCTACAATGGATTATAGAGATTTTGCTTGTACATGTCTCTCCAAGAACCTATTCCAGGTTCCGCAGGGGCAAAGATTTTGCCTGATTCATTTCCTACAACATTCAGCACAGAACTTACCATGGTCTTGTTCACAAAATTAGACTAAAACAGAAGCAGAGTTTGTAAATATCTGTAATTTTTTTAATTAAAAAAGAATATTTTTGATAGCACATACACACACATATAACAAAGAGAAAAAGAGAGAAGTATCCTTGACAAGGCCTCCCCACACCTGGACCCCCTCCCTCTGCCATCCAGCTCCTTAGAATCTCAAGTGCCCACATGTGGCTGGTGTGTTTTCAGGCCAACCTGGGAATCCAAACCCCTGGTCAGCCTTGTTGCTTCCAATACCATACATCAGTATGCTATAGATTGCACCACTTAGGCTGGGCCTAAAACTTAAACATCCTAAATCAAAATTTTAAAAACTTCAAACTGCAACGTCGTGGTTGGGAAGATGACACTCACCATCAGTAATGGCTTCTCCTTTCAGACTTTTAATTCCTCTGGGCATTGCATTTCCATCCAGGTAGAATTCAATTATGCCATCATCCAAGATAATTAGGAGATGAAGCCAAACACTTTCTTCCAAATATTTCATGACTGTTGTCTTGGCAATGTACGTAGCATTGGAACCCAAAGTTTTGTAATGAAGGGAAAGTGTCACGTGGGACTGATTTGTTTGAATTTTTACCCCATAATAGATGCTTCCATTGCCATCATCCTTTGCTATAACAAATCCATTCGTATTGGCATTAGGCATTACCCAAGCTGAGAAGGTAAAGTTGGCAATTGTGTTATTCCTAGAGGGATGGTATTTGGGATTAACAGTCCCAAACGCACCCTCTAGTCCACTGAAGTACAAGGCGTCTGTTCCGCTATGGTGACGCCGCATGTGCGGTTGTAAGTGCACAGTGCTGGGGAATGTTCCGAGGAGTAGAAAGTCTACCATTGGTGGCAAACCATCGGTGAACTCACTGGACAGGACTTCCCAGCCCACTCGTACATCACCAAAGGCACCCTGTTGCCTCAAAATGGTGAAGTTGGTGATGTACGACAGATCATCTTCAGAGAGGACATCTTCGGCCACTTCTCTCTCTAAACACTCTGGATCCAAGATGAAAACTCCAAAAGGATCGTCATTGAAGGGAATCATTATCGTCACCTGAAGATTGCTTTCTGCTAGTTGGCCCCCAGGCCCTGGGGAGCCACCTGTAATAAGAAAATCTATGAGTGAAAAACCAGAATTTAAAGTATTTTCTACCATACAATAAGGTGAAGAAAAAGGAATGTGCTAAGCAGACAAAGTTCTGGTTAGATAATTTACTCATTATCAATGAGTCGTAACAGTATCACCATATGGCTTTCACCACATTTTTACGGAGGTGATCAAAAAATATTGGTTCTGAATAATCTTATTAATGATCAATCAAGACTGGTAAGAAGACATGAACTAGACAGGTTGAATTCCTGTGCCTAAAACCAAGAGTAATAGGAAAATTTAATTGTTTAATTTATAGTAGAAGACCAAGCTTTAAGCTACTATGAATCTATACTTCCTGGCTTCAATAAATGGTTCATTGGGAACACTGTATTTGGTGTGGGAATAGTAATTTTCAAGTTTGAGGGTGGATGTGAGCCTCCATTCATAAAACTGAACCAAGCTAAGACTACAAAGTGAACATTAAAAACAACTCCTCTATCAAGAAGGGTATTTGACAATTAAAATCAGACATTCAGGATACACTATTTCTTCATCAACTGAATTTTCTATGTAGCACTAAGTAAGTACAAAACAAACATTTTTGATGGTAAAATAAGAAATGTAAAAAACACAGCACCTGAAATGTTGACAAGCTTTAGAATATAAAATTCATTGAATTCAGGAATTTGATCTGGAAAAGCATGCAGAATTATTGGTTTTGCTCCTTCTCCATCCATGAAGCTAACAGTCCCTGAAGTTTCATAGAACTCTTGTCCAGGCTGCAAAGCAGACTCATTCTCAAACAGCTGCCAAGCCACAGAAACATTGCCAAAGTGTCCTCGGTGCCTCAAAATCCTACATAAATTGATGAAAATTAATTCTTATAAAAAGTTTAGATGTAGTGAATCCAGTTCTAATGACACTTTTCTATGTTTGCTCAGAAATCTACATTTTTCTATTTATCATCCTTCAGTAAACCAGTCAGCCAGTCCTACTGAGAAATCATGAAGAATCTCAGGGAAAGGGGAAAATGAGGTAGAACTTAAAATAATAAAGAGAAACAGTCTTAATAGTCTTAGTCATCAGGCTGGCTCCACAGCCTGGTGGTTAAGGCAGCGGGTCCATGTCCAGCTGCATAGTTTGAGTCCCAGACCCAGAGGCCTGAGAAAAATGCCAGGCAGGTGTGCATTTGTGCCCAAAATCCTGAAAAGAGGGCGAGATGGAGATGGGATTGTAACATGATCATTCCCCATGAAGCAAATGCACACACTCTCTGGCAAAATTTTTTTAAAAAATTAAAAAAGAGTCTTACTCTCCAAAGTCTAAACTGAAAGATAAATTCTAAGCCCCATCAAAAACATGTGGATGGTAACTGGCAAAAGTTTTTCAAAAGCAAAGTATAGGGTGAGTAGTCACATGTCATCTGAGGGAAGAATTCCTTTTTTTTTTTTTTTTTAGAGAGATTTTCACTGTAGGGCGCGTGCGCTCGCCAGACAGACAGAGAGAGACATAGAGACAGAAAGCGAGAAATCACCCCCCAGGGGGGATGGTCACGCCGCAATCCCTTCTCCTCCATTCTCCTCTCGGGATCTTGGGCACGCACGCACACGTGCCCGGCGTGAGTTTTAAGCCACCGGGTCCGGGACACGAACCGCGGTCAACTACGTGGGAGTCCAGCGACATAGCCATTACACTAACTGCTGGTTCCCGAGGGAAGAATTCCTGAAGACCTTGGATAATTCAAGTTTCTCAGTCCTGACAAAGGATGGAAGTCCTCATGAGAATGGTTGGGTATATAATCTCTGAATACCAGCCAGACGTTTTTGTTGTTTCTCAGACGGTGGCAATAATAAAAACGAAGTGTACCCCTCCATTCAGACTGCCAACTTTGAAACTGTTCGATTCTAGACCAATATTCTAAAAGAATCATTTATTTAATTTTGTTATTATTTTTTTAACCAGAGAGAAAGAGAAAGAAAAAGTGGGAAAACAAGCCACCAGGTCTGGGATTCAAGTCACCGTCAGCCATGTGGGAGTCCAGAACCTTAACCACCATGCCACCTGCCAGCCCCTAAACCAAATTTTTTTAAATTCTGAAAGGTTAACAATACTTTGAATTTTTCCAAACTTAATGATTTAATTTTTATTTCATCCAATTTTGAATTTGCGTTCTCCAAATAAACTTACCAAAATGTGTTAGTCTTTCCTTCTTCTACTGCTTTGTCTATGGGCTCCAGAGAAAAAATACCATTTGGGTCATCGTTAGCTTCAATTATTACTGTAGCTATTCCATGTTGATATACTACTGTATCACCTAAATTAAAAATGCAATAGTTAAAATAACAAAAAGTAGTTAATGTACTTATTAAATTCATGATTTTAAATTAACAGTTTATAATTTAGTTCACATTTTCGGCAAAACTTCTTCACTGACAGTCATACAATAAATGCAGAATACAGCTCTATTTTTTTTCAAAGGCGTTATATATGTATATCTGCAGATATTCATGTATACATGCATAGAGAAAGAAATGCCTAATACAGCTTAATGTGAAACATTTCCTATTTTGTCTTTTTGAGAAAATGCTTAGTTATAAAAGAACTGTTTTCTTGAAGAGATTTTTTCTTCACAGCATAATTTCAATAACTCAATTAAAAATCAAAGCAGAGCTTCTTCAAATTTCAAAAAGTTTAGCTTTTTTATCTCATAAAAATAATGACAGATTATCCCATAATATAAAAATATTCCTATCTTAGGATCAGCAGTTGGTATAATGGCTATGTCTCTGGACTCCCACGTAGTCGACCGCAATTCGAGTCCCAGACCCAGTGGCTTAAAACTCACGCCGGGTGCGTGTGCATGCGTGCCCAAGAACCTGAGAGGAGGATGGAGGAGAAGGGATTGTGGCGTGACCATCACCCCTCGGAGGATGACTTCTCGCTTTCTCTCTCTCTCTTTCTGGCAAGCACTCACGCCCTTTAGCAAAAAAAAAGAAAAAGAAAAAAGAAAAGAAAAGAGAAAGCTAACTGGCTGCATCTACCTAAATTATTTCTGGGTTCTCTGTTCCATTCCATTGGATGATATATCTGTTCTTTGCCAAAACTATGCTGCTTTTCTTATTATGGCCTTAAAGTATATTTTGAAATTGGGTAGTATTGGCCACAAAGTCTTTTTTTTTTTTTTTTTCATAGAATTGCTTTAACTATTTGGGGACTCTGTAATTCCCTGCAAATTTGATTATTACTTTTTCTACTTCTTTGAGGAATGGCATGGTATTTTGATGAGTACTGCATTGAGGCTGTATATTGCTTCTGGAGGTAGAGACATGTTAACAATATTGATTATTCCAATCCATGAATATGGGTTGTTTTTCCTTTGTGTGTGTCTTCTTTGATTTCTTTTATAAATGGTTTAAAATTTTCACTACAGGGACCAGCAGTTAGTGTAATGGCTAAGTCGCTGAACTCCCATGTAGTCAACCGCAGTTCGAGTCCTGGACCCGGTGGCTTAGACTCATGCCAGGCACATGTGCATGCGTGCCCAAGATTCCAAGAGAAGAATGGAGGAGAAGGGATTGCGGCGTGGCCATTCCCCTTGGGGGGTGATTTCTCACTTTCTGTCTCTCTATCTCTCTCGGGAGCACATTCGCCCTATAGTAAAAACCCCTCCAAAAAAAAAAAAAAAAAAGAAAAGAAAAATTTTCATGACAGAGATCTTTCACCTTCTTGGTTAATTTTATTCCTAGGTATTTATTTTCTTTGTATCTATTGTAAATGCATGGCTTTTAAATTTCTTTTTCAGGTATTACAATATTGTGTATAAAAATGCTACCAATTTTTGTGTGTTGATTATGTATCCAGCCACTTTACTGAATTTATTTGTCAGTCCTAAGAGCTTTTCTGTGGCGTTTTTAGGGTTTTCTATATACAAGATCACAGCCTCCTTTATACAAATCTCATCCTCAGCAAACACAGACAATTGATTTTTGTTCTTTCCAAATGAGATGACCTTTATTTCTTTCTCCTGCCTTCTTTCTTTGCCTAGGACTTCTCACATGCAATTTTACTATAAACTCCAAATGATTCTGATTCAGTTCCACACTCTAGAAGAATAGAGGCATAATAATTGATTCATAGAAGTTATTTATTGCTGAACTGATGCAAATAAAATTTTCAATATGAGAACACCTACAGTTAAAATTACAGAGACAAATCGGATGTATTTTTAAAAAAGCACATCAACTGTACAACTGTACTCAATGCCACCTGATAATTAACCAAAGAAAGGACAAAAAGACATAAAAATAACGAGCAAATCATTTAGAAAATGCTGACAATAGAGAATAAGAGCCAGTGGCATGGCAGTAAAACATGAAGATCTGAGAAACTGACTCACAGGGAAAAAGTTGCTACTTTGCCTCTGGTGACCTCCCTGAGAATTCCCATGACCCAGAGCTGGCTGATGCTGCAGGTGGACTGTGGTGTGGAGACTCCAATGGGGTTATATATCTCTCTTTCTGTGTTTTGCATGCTCTCTCTCTCACTCGTGGAATAAATAAATGATTTTTTTTAAAGAATAATAAAATAAAGATCATATATCTTAAAATCTGACAAAAAAATGAAACCTAATTTTTTCAAGGTTCTGCTATCATGTGCATTTATAATGCAATATGTCACAGATGGTCATGAAGATTCATTCTGCTTCCCTGCAACATGAATTGACGATATTGAACAAAAATTCTAAGGATGGCCAGCTTTTCATACAAAGGTAGGGCACACATTGAACTGTAAGTATGAGGCATAAATGCTCACCTCAATACTAGGTCATGTTAGAATGCTGCCCCTCTGGCCCTCCCATCATGGGCCCCACAAGCTGCTGATGTCTGGGCATCAAAAAGGAGAAGCAAAGATAAAGAAAGAATAAGAAGGGATATAAAAATCACATATTGTAAAGGTTTTTGCCATTCGAGTTGTCATAGCTAACGTAATTAGAATGACAGAGGGACACAGCAAAAACAAAACTTAAGAGACCTTTTCCTTTTCTTCTTTTTCTCAAAGGCCCAATGGAGAACTCAAGGTCAGGGGTCACACTGTGGTTGTGGGCAGGTACCACAGTGGCCCAGCATAAGCAGTTAGGGCTAATGCAGGGTAAAGGGGGAATCGCCAGGGGCCAACAAGTAACATGGTGGTTAAGGTTCTGGACTCCCACATGGCCAATGACAACTAAAGTCCCAGACCTGGCAGCCTAAAAATCACATGGGATATGTGCATGCATACCCAATAAACCATCTTGGGAGTGGTTTCTCTCTTTTTCTCTCTTTGTCTCTCTCTGGTGAGTATACATGTCCTATAGCAAAAATCTAAAAACAAAAAAGGGCATTTCCATGGGAGAGAAGCTGGTGCCAGATGTTGGAGCCTAAATGAGTGAGAAGGCATCCACTTATTGGCCTCAAGCAGGAAGTAAGACCCTCAGTGTAGGAAGACAGCAAGAGAGCAATGGAGAAGCAGTTACATACTGGGGAAACTGGTCAAATGTGTAAATATATAAAAAAAGAATCAGATCTAGATTTCTTACTATCAGAGAAGATAATGACAAATACGGAAAGGTAGAAAACTAAATGAATCCTAGAATATTGGGCAGTAATCGAGATACTTATGTAATTTAATGGTTCTCAACATACATAGACATACAATTGGAAATGTAGAAGGTGTGGTGGGGGTAGCAGACAGCATAATGGTTACAACACTGGACTCCCATGTACTCAATTGTGGTTCAAGTCCTGGACCTGGTGGTTTAAACTCATGGCAGCCATGTGTGCATGCATGCCCAAAATTCTTGTGTGTGTGTGTGTGTGTGTGTGTGTCTGATTCTTTTTTTTTTCTTTTTTATTATCATCATAATCTTCTTTATATTACATTGGATTACATATAACTTTACAGTGTATTACATTGTTTTTTCAAAAGGGAATACCATGCATGTCAGTCAGTACAGAGACATTAATCTCCCCACTTCAACATTCAATATCTTTTCTATGTTTTCCCCAATCATTATTTTTATTATTCTAATTATTTTTTAAAACAATCGCTATTTCTCATTTTGCTTGTAAAAATACTTTGACCATCATGAAATACTTTTCAGACCAATCCAGTTGAGATGCATCCCCAAAATTCTGAGAGGAGAATGAAGGAGAAGAGATTGTGGAATGGCCATACCCCCCCGGGGGGAGGGGCAATTTCTCACTTCCTATCTCTCTGTCTCCCTCTGTCTTTCTGGCAGGCGCATGCACCCTATAGAAAAATCTAGTTTTTCTGTTTGTTTGTTTTTTTTTAAAGTGTGTGTATGTGTACATGCATACATACACACACATTTCACTATTTCTGTACATTAAGAAGACTCAGGATGAGCAAAACCTCAATAGTAATAAACATATTTAGTATGCAGATACTGGCTTCTAAATAAGATTCTTCACTAAAATGAATAGTGCTTCTTGAAGAAATGGCTGATTTCAGAGTTGTTACAGGAAAAGTAGAAAATAAGAATGAAACAGCTTCCTGTACCAGGAAGGAAAATATTGCTAACAGTATAACAGGGATGTGTCAAAACCCCAAAGAAGTCATCTTAAATAGGTTAATGCTGGTCAAATCTGGGAAAAGTTAACCAACAAAGGAAGTGACAGCAGCAAACCACAACCTACTGCATTAGATTAAAATCCTGCGTCCACACTGATAAATGTACCAGGGAAAAAACTGAAAGTTTCATGAGTAACAAGATATTTACATAGTGTCAAAGTAACTTCTCACAAATTATTATTAATTACAATGGAAAAAAGTAGAGAAGCCAGGCAGTTACTAACTTAATCATAGTCAAAGTGAACATCACAGTTAAGGAACAAACCCAAACCATATGACTGATAGGGTATGTTAAGAACAGAGAATCAGGGACCAGCAGATAGTGTAATGGCTATGTCGCTGAACTCCCATGTAGTCCACAGCGGTTCGAGTTCCAGACCCGGTGGCTTAAACTCATGCCAGGTGCGTGTGTGTACATGTCCAAGATCTCGAGAGGAGAATGGAGGAGAAGGGACTGCGTCATGCCATCTCCCCTGGGGGGTGATTTCTCACTTTCTGTCTCTCTTGTCTTTCTGGCGAGCGCACATGCCCTATAGCAAAAACCTCCCCTCCAAAAAAAAAAAAAAAAGAACAGAGAATCAGCCCTGTAAAATTCCTGCCAAGGATGCAAACCTGAATCCAGTAACGAAGAAACATAAAGCAAACTCCAAACTAAGGACATTCTACAAAAGTGCCATCTTGTAATATATAAGGTCAAGGTCATGAAAGTTGAGGAGAGACTGAGGACCTATCCATATGGAAGAAATCAGAGGTCATGCAGTATTTGGATAACTGAGGAAATCTGAATGAAGTCTGAGGCATCGATTAAATTAATGTTAACTTCCTGATTTTATGACCATGTTGTTGTTTTGCTGTTATGTCGGAGTGTCCTTGTATACACTAACGTATTTGGGATGTCTTTCTCTTTCTCCTTTCTCTCTCATGCACACACATACACCCTCTGGAATAAGTAAACAAAAATAAAAGTATAGGGAGCGGCAGTTGGTGTAATGGCTATCTTGCTGGACTCTCATGTAGTTGACTGTGGTTTGAGTCCTGGACCCAACGGCTTAACTAATGCTGGGCGCATGCACATGTGTGCCCAAGATCCTAAGAGGAGAATGGAGAAGGGATTGCAGCGTGGCCATCCCCCCAGAACGTGATTTCTCGCTTTCTGTCTGTCTCTCTCTGTCTTTCTGGCAAGTATACGCACCCTATAGCAAAAACCTCTTCAAAATAAATAAATAAATAAACGTATAAGTTATTTTTATTTCATATGTAGTAATAAATTTTCTATTAGTGCTATACTGTAGTTAAAAAAAAAAAAAAAGCTTACATCAATTTCACAGAGTATACCAGGTACATGAAGCTCCAGCACATAACATTCTTCACCTTATTTTTTTTTAAGAAACTAAAGAAATAAAATACTTTGCTCTTAAACAGTCACAAAAGACAGCTGGGAACAACCTGGTGCCACTACAAACAGTAGTACTTCATGTCATTCGGATAAAGCACAGAATTGAAAGATATGCCATAAAAATGTAACCTATTTACCTGTTGAATTAAAGAGGATTATGTAGAAAGGCTCATCTGTCTCTGGGATACCATCTTCATGAACAAATACAGATAAGCGCTGCTCTGTACCGCCGACCTCAAAAACAAGTGTTTCTCCTTTTTCAACAGGAACGAAGTCTCCCTCTCTTGCAGTAGCCTTCCCATCCATGGTAGCATATTGGACGGTACAGGTGACATCAACAGATCCGTTTCTGACAACTGTGAAGTTAGCCGCCTCACCTTCCCGCACCCTCACTACTCGAGGTTCTGAAATATCCATAAAGAAAGACCATGTTGCTTTTTAGATTCCACCTGCATAGTTTCAGATCACATGCTCTTTCTCCCTGCTCCTCCACAAGAAATGTCCTCTACTGTGTATCTTCTTAAAGAGTCAGTTCTTTTCTCTTCTCCAACTCAAGGCCCATCTGATCACTTCCACAGTCCATGGCCTTCCTCTCGCTTTAATCTCTATAAAATCAACGCTCTTCAACACCTAGTTTGTTGGTACATGATATACTTTTTTAAATCTTCTGCCTATTGTAATTTCGTATACCTCCTTTCTAGGTTGAGGGTGCAAGTTCCTTAAAAACAGGCCCAGATACCTTTGGATTGATTCTCGCCACAGCAGTCAGAAGGTTGAACACAAGCCTAGAGCTGCATGCCCCATAATGCTCTTTGTCAACCACAGACCACATCGAGGTGGTCTCACAAAAGTGTAATAGCCTAGGTGTGTAGGAGGCCACCCCATTCAGATGTGTGCAAGAACACTATGATATTTTCACAATGACAAAATCACCTAACGATGCACTTCTCAGAACATACCCACGTCATTCAGTGGCACATGACTGCAATTCATGTTAACTGCCTGTTGAGAATACAAATGAATAAAACTCAAGAAGCTTAAAAGATTTCTGCATTGCTGAATTGACCTATATACAGCTTATAAAAAGGACCTAAGAAAGAATTAGACATCAATCGAGCCTCATAAGGAAGACTAAAAGATGTCTAAGGTGGCTAAAAAAAAAAAAAATACAGTTCTAAAAAAAGAAGTGATGTGGCAAAAATGAAGAAACCTTGATTAAGTTGCCCATAAACTATCAGCTACTATAGTAAGTGGCCAACCATTAGGTACCATACCCAGGCCTTGAACTGGATAGACTGTGTACTAGAAGAGAACAAAAGGAGAAATGCTCTTTTGAAAATCTTAGAATTTAAAACAGGGAAATAAAGCTAACAAAATAGTACTTACCTATTTTTTTTTTTTCTTCAGGAATATTTAAAAATATTTGTGAAAATATTTTTTTAATTTATTTATTAATTTATTTTTCTCTTTTTAACATTAATATGCTATACATCATTACAGTATACAAAATGAATTTTTCATCCAAAATACACTGTCTGTTGGCTCAATCAAGCACATCAACATACGTGTTATCAACAAACAATTTTTCATTTATGTCTTGTATATTCTGCGTGTTTTTGTTTTTGTTTTGTTTTTTTTGCCATCCTTGATTCCCTATCCCTAACCCTCTGCCCTGTCCAACCCTCCTCCCATTGTCTCTGACTGCTTTCTATGCCTTTCCTCCCCATTTAATTGATTTGCTATTGAACTTAATTTGTCTAAATATTTGCAATAGCAAGCACAGGGCAGACCTCTCATCGGAAACAATGTGAGCGAGGAGAGAATGAAAATATATTTTAAACAGACTGAATAATGATCATCAAAACGAATCATGAAATCATATTCAAATAAGCATCGGCTGTGTTTTATTGAAAATAAATGATCATTTAAAAATTATTAAGAACTCGATAGATATATACACACATATACATATATATACATATATATTATATATATATAATATATATACACTCTTTAATAAGGATGTTAATTCATTCAAATAAGAGAGCAATACCACCTGCAAAATAAATGGGGTCATCATTCCGTCGAATCCTCAGAGCTGCAGTTGTTTTATTTCCCACTTTAGCTCCACCAGTGGCGTTAAGCAGGATAATGGTAAATTCTTCCATTTCCTCTGGAATCTTTTGGAAAATGTCACATGTTTTGAGTCAGGAGATTTATACATATATTTACATTATATATTCCTATATTATTTTCATTTTTTTATAAAAAGTTCTATTAATAGTACTCATGTTCACTTCCATTTCTGAGGCAGAACTTCCCTAAGGTAGTCAAGACTTAGCATATTCCCACCAAATTATTTTTAAGCACATTTTGCCTCATATCAGCTAAAAACAGATATACCGCATAGCTCATATTATTTCTATATAAAAATGAAAAATGTGCTGATTAGAAAAAAGTGGAACAAATAACTTTTTGCCACATTTAGAACTGAGTTCCTCATAATCACTAACGCTCAGCTAGCTCTCAACAGCCTTCCACAACAGTACTGCGGTGGAAGAGACCTTGCGCCTGGGTCCCCACAAGATGAGATTCCCACATCTCTGAACTTAAATGGATTCTCCAGGTAGACGCTGTTTCTCTTTCACATCACTCCTGTGACCTGGTACTCTATTTCCCTTGAGACAAAGAAGTGCTGGCATTTTGTCTGCGGAGGGCCAGGTGTAAGGGGAAGGGCACGGGCCTTCAGTACAGCTCTCAGTGCAGCTCCTTGGAAAGGTTCAGTTCCCTCACTGCCCAATGTTACCAAGCCGGTGCCCTTTCTTACCAATAAGAGGAAACCCCATGTAAGAGCCATGGTCCATTGGCCAGGGGTTCTGATTCAAAGACTGCCCCAGAGCATAGCTGGCAGATGGTCTTGTCTTCAAAGGGCCTGAGAACAAGCCCAGGGCTCACCCTCGCCCACAACTACAAATCCCTGATGTTTGACGCGTGAGCAGTGCCAGGGATCACGATTCAGTTCTGATACACAAGCTTTCAGGGATTCAAAGAGTAATACTCCTCTTTGGGCTCATAGTCAAATACTGTTATACCTAAGTCCTTTATAGTATACTTTCATCACAAAATATACTGCCAGGTACTTCATTGTTTTATAAAAAATAATTATTGAGGAACTACAACAAGTACAGCAGAGATTTATACATATAACACTTACCTCATCTGGAAGGGAATAAATGGTGATATTTTTTGAAAATTCCTGATCTCCAAAGAAAATACTCCCTTGCACGGGAAATACGTCTTGAGTAAAGTCTGGACTAACCATCCATGATACACTAACATCACCAAAGTTGCCTCGGTTTCTTATTACTCCAAAAGCAGCTGTGAAACACAAACACGTACAGCACATATGAATACTAAACAACATCAAAACGATGAGTAAAGACCTATCGAACAAAAGTAAAAATAAAATCTCTCTTTAATAAAAGCCAATGGTTTGCTTAGCACAGCCTCCAAAGCTCATATACAAATATAATAACTAATATAATAATTTAATAAAATAAATGGACTTGGGGCCAGCAGGTGGCATAATGGTAAAAGAACTAGACTCCCCAGTGATTAATCATGGTTTGAGTCCCGGACCAGGTGGCTTGAAACTCATGCCAGGCATGTGTGCCTGTGTGCCCAAAATCCCAAGAGGAGAATGGAGAAGAAGGGACTGTGGTATGGTCATTACCTTTTAAGGGGTGATTTCTCATTTTCTGTCTGTCTGTCTCTCTCTCTCTCTCTCTCTCTCTCTCTCTCTCTGTCTCTGTCTCTCCAGTGAGGAGCAAAAAAACCTCTCCAAATAAATAAATATATAGATAAATAAATAAATAAAATGGATTCAATCTTTTCCATCCCATTTTGAGATTTTAAGTCATTTGGCACAGGACACAGAACGGTGATGAATTCGGTCCACCTGTCATAATGTCCCCAAACGGTACCTGCTAAATCCAGTGAAGGGAGGCTAGACTTGCATACTCAAGAATGACTATTACCCAGACGCTGCACTAAAATTAAAACACTTGTCTCTTCTTACCACATAACCGTTTCCTAGCAGTAACTCTTAGCTTTAATGTTTTCCCGATTTGACTCAATTCACTACTGCCTGTGGCAGTGGCCCTGCATGTGGCTAATTAAAATCAAAACATAACTGAAGTTATTAGTGTCATCACAGTGCCATAGAAGAAATTAGAAAAACAATTCCAAATATTATTTTTAAAAGATCTATTTCTGTATTCCATGTAATTCCTGAGGCAGAAAGGGCACATAAAAATAACCGAGTATTAAGGAAATAAGCCCAAAAAATGATCATACACTATTTCCTCTTCAGTAAACAGAAATGGAGCAAAAGGAAGAGAACAAATTACCACTACAGATATCGTCTCCTTTGCTTTCATTTATCATCATGATTAGATCATCAGAAACAAATTCTATAATTCCGTGGGGATCGTCGTTTTTTAGAATTGTTATGTTGACAACTGTAGCGCTTCCCAGCTTGCTTTCTCGGTCACCATGGCTGCTAAGGACCACACAATAGTGTTCATCCAACTAAAAGGAATACGTCAAATTGGGAAAAATGTGAAGCAAACGCTTTCAAAGCAAACATAATTACATACATTCAAGAATACTAAATATTCAATTTTTCAGAAACATGCAATTCACTGAAAGGACAAAAAAGCTGATACTATTCCTAAAAAACTATTTTTAACATTTTCCTAACAATTAAGAAAGACATCTGATAGAACTATACATTGTCCACAAAGAGAAAAGACAAAAATAACTCTAAGCTACTAAAGGTTTATCTTTGGGACCAGCAGTTAGTGTAATGGCTATATCACTGGACTCCCATGTAGTACACGCAGTTTGAGTCCCAGACCTAGTGGCTTAAACTCACACTGGGCGCATGTGCATATGTGCCCATGATCCCAAGAGGAGAAGGGAGGAGAAGGGATTGCGGCGTGGCCATCCCCCCCGGAGGGTGATTTCTCGCTTTCTGTCTTTCTCTCTGTCTCTCTCTCTCTCTCTCTGTCTCTCTCTGTCTCTCTCGATCTTTCTGGTGAGCATATGTGCCCTATAGCAAAAACCTCTAAAAAAAAAAAAGTTCATTTTTTAGATAATCTACTCTAAAATGGCAAGACAACTGAACCGTATCATTGATGGTGTAATCATTTAAACAAGTGCGTAAATAAAATAAAGTTAATCAAAAGCTACATTTGCACTGATGTGTAAACATAATGAAACCAGACTTGGAAAAGGTAATTTTATAGCAAAACTTCTTCAGTTCAAAACCACATCATTAAAGGTTTAGTCAATATAGATCACACAAAATAATATTTAATTTAAATAAAACTAAAAGGAGATGAAAACCAATGGCACACTGAAAGTCTCAGGTTGTTTGATATTATGTAGAACAAAAATATCCTAATTTAAATGTCTTACTTTACTTTTTAATTTATTTTTCAGCAAATACAAGTACAGGTTGAGTATCCCTTATTTGATATGCTGGCTATATTTATGTTAGAGATGCAGCAAAGTCTAAACATAAAATTTATTTATGTTTCATATATTCCTTATGCACACAGTCTGAAGGTAATTTCATACAACATTTTTTTTTTCTTGTTTTTTTGGAGAGGTTTTTGCTACAGGGCGTGTGCGCTTGCCAGAAAGACAGAGAGAGACAGAGAGACAGAAAGCAAGAAATCACCCCCCAGAGGGGATGGCCACGCCGCAATCCCTTCTCCTCCATTCTCCTCTTGAGATCTTGGGCACGCACGCACACGCACCCCGGCGTGAGTTTAAGCCATGGGGTCCGGCAACACAGCCATTAGGCTAACTGCTGGTCCCCTCATACGACACTTTTAAACATAAGACCTGTCACATGAAGTCATGCATGGAATTTTCCATTTGTGGCATCATGTCTATATAGGCTCAAAAAAATTCAGATTTTAGAGTATTTCGAAATTTAAATGTTCAGATTACAGATACTTCAACCTATACTTCTCAATCTTTTTTTTATTTTTTTTTTTTGCCCAGTTCCTTTCCTATGTCTCTTTGTCAATGTCCAAACTATTTATAGTACTAACATTTCAGACACTATCAACCTACCACAAAAGCACAAGGAAAAATGGAATCCCATACCTCCGGGATCCCGTCCAATCTTGATAGCAAGGTGATCACTATCTCCCTTTCCCCAGGCTTAAATTCGAGGACGCCCATGTTTCCATAGAATTCATTGCTCTCCCTCGGCTCTACTCTGTAGTGCAGAAACTGCTTCACAAGAGCCCCCCTGGATCGGATGATGTGGAGTTCTACAGATTCTCCTTCCTTTAAAAAAAATAAAATTCACAAACATTCAAATCCTTCAAGATCCTCCTTCTGAAGTTGTGAGCACAGAATAGATTCCAGTTCCTTTCAGACTTACTTTTATAACATATGGGCCTCTGGAAGCAGGAGAAAATTCAAAAACTCCCCCAGGATCATCATTTTCCAAAATAATTAGGTCTCGGCTAGTATATCCAGATTTCAGCACTTGATTTTCCACATTAACCCTGGAGAAGTCAGAGGGAAAAAGAACACCCGCCGCCTATAGTCTTACATCTGAATTTTTCAGGCTCTTAAAGCAATATTTATACCTTTCCCAGACAGTGAAAAAGAAGGTTAGTGGGATTTAAATGTGAACGTGGATATACGTGTATTAAAATAACTTAAGATCAAAACACTTTTACTCATAACAATTTAAGTTCCACAGGACTTAGATTTCTAAATAACATTTTTTATTTGACTGAAGCCAAGCACTGCACGAGCACACTGAGAATATACTACCCATATTGCAAATATGTTTATACAAAATATCAAAATATATAGAACTGATTCCAGTTTTAGAATAATTTAGTTTATAACATGGAATTAGAAAATACATTTACACAAAATGGTGTTTTAATTTTGTATATACTTGAATTTCTTCAATAAACTCATAAAGATATAAGATTATACTAACCAAATAAGGATACATTAAAAGTTGGATTAAATATTTGGACTAAAGCAAGCCACACATTAAAAATAAGCACAATTATAATCAGATTTTAGGGAGACTTTCTGGTTTTCAAACCTTCTATCCACCTTAATTTTAATCTCGTGAGTTTTTTTTCTTTTATATGTAGGCCAGATAAGAAAAAGAGGAATAAGAAAAATGAATCTGAAATACATGATGTGTTACAGTAATTCCTATGTAAAATCACAAAAGAACAAATTAAAATAAATTTTTTCTTAATTTCTGGTTTTCATACTCAGTATATAATTAGAAGGATCAAAGGAACTTGGACTGCAGGGCGTTGAGGGTTTGAATGCCAGAAAGCTCTTAAAAATTCACAGTCCTGCAAGCTGCTCTAAATCTTTCCAAATGCCATCTCCTATTGGACCAAATAGTGCTCATGATCAGACTTCAAAATCACAATGAACCTGTAGACATGTGTGGAAAGGATAGACCATTTCCTATGCTATAGAGAATATAAATGAACACCTTCCCTAGCTATTGGAGATCTGACAACCAATACTAACAGGCTAGTGGCCACAGAAGAGATAGTCTAAATAACAAGAAAGTTATTTATAGGGGACCAGCAGGTGGCATGGTGGTTAAAGCGCTGGACACTCCCACATGGCCAACTGTGGTTTGAACATGGGACCTGGTGGCTTGCCTTTCCCCCCCTCCCTCTGTCTCTCTCCCTGGTTAAATTAAAATAAATGAATGAATAAATAAAATTAAATTAAAAATTATTTTTTAAATAAAGTTATTATATTATAAATGCAGTCATATTATTTTCATAGCAAATTTGTCCCCACTTCATTCATTAATTAAAATTTCCCATGTCCACATAAGCTGGAAGACAAGGAACTGGATCAGATGTAAAAATCCATTCTGAACATGAAACAAATTTATTTTTAAACATTCTTAAAATGCTATCTTTATGTAAAATGCAAATTCCAAAAAGTTCAGTCTGTAACATAAGCAAAAAACTGCATAGATACACTCAGAAAACCAAAGGAAGAGTTATGATTACTGATTGCTAATTCTCCTGCAAACAAACTACAAGACTCATCAAAGACGCTGGGTCAGAATTTCACAAGTAAAGCACACTAATTGTTCTCTACTTATACATAAACTATGAAGGGAAGTTAAAATTCTAAGTTATTCAAAATCCACGATCAGACTACTTAACTCTTTCATCAGACATTTTAAATACGTTCATAATTTAAAACTCTTAGGACAGGGGAAAAAAAGAATCTCTATATAAGCTCCTCTTATCATTGGAACATGAAATCGCACACAGAGCATGCACAGCCGGTAGACAAGCAAGTCCTCAAGCCCTGTGGTCATGCAGAACGGCAGCCTCGTCCAGAAACACCCAGTTCCCAAACGAAAGGCTGAATCACCAAAAACAAGGCATTATTTTGTACACTTACCCAAAATACACGACAAACCTTTCAGTTTCCACCCTGTCAACACAGAAAGAAGTGTGGGAGGGGGGAAAAGAGGAGGCACCATTTGCCAAAATCTCACTAAGACCGTTGGGAATCTAGAATGGCAGGGCAAAAATACAGCTGAAGAAACAGCTCTTTTTTTTTCCCAAGGGCTGGTCATGTTCACTTTATGGGAACTCTGCACACTGGGTTCTTTGCTATTGACAAATGCGAGCGAGAGGTTCGGCAGTTCCCACTCAGGGAAGATGACCCCATGGCCAGCCAGCATGTCAAGACCCATTCAACACATTCCTTTCCAGGTCTCTGCCACGGCTGTGTCAGCCAAGCGCTGTACAGGCTCACACCGCGGCAGCTGAGCAAACTGCATTCAGCCCTAATCGTAATTACTTAGGAGCCTTAATTAGGTTCGAAAAACTATAAAAAGCCTCCATGCTCAGATCTAAAGCCTGTTCTCTGAGTTAGAAAAAAGAAAATTCTACAAGCAATCTACAGCTTTCATTTTTTGCATAAAAACATACTAAAAAAAGCTTTAAAATATCATAATATCTTTTATTACACCAAATTTTACTTATAAAACAACTAGACAACAGGAAATCTACTTTCCCAAGTTGCCAATGTATTTCATTTTTCAAACATGCTTGAAGAGCGCGTATCAAAACGTAGAGTCCTTAAGCTTTATTTTCAAGTCATCATCATCAAATACAGTTGTATACCACATGCATCAAAATGTTTCTAAAGTAAATTGACATAATGAAATTGTTCCTGATTTGGGAAAAATCTTAACAATAGAATATTTTTAACCAGTATGGCATTGAAATCACTGAAAATGTCTTAGTATCAGGACGTTTGTCTATATCTAGGTAAAATAGAGAGAATCAGTATTTGAATTTGACATTAAGAGAATATTGTAGGGGCCAGCAGGCGGCATGATGGTTAGGGCACGGGACTCCCACTTGCTGGCTGTGGTTCGAGTCCCAGATAACTTGTTTTCTCATTTTCCTTCTCTCTCTCATCAAATTAAATGATAATAAAAATGAAATCAATAGTTCCTTTAAAAAGAGAACATTGTAAACTGCATTCCAACAAGATGTTGTAAAAATTGTAACAATAACGTTACTTTTTTCTTGTAATATTGTACTGTGACATACTATAATCAAACTTACTAGCATTCCTTCATTGTTTCACTTAACATTTATTAAAAATTTGCCAAATTATGAGAGAGGACTGGACAAAACATGCTATTTCAATTCATAGATTTTATTCTCTCATTTTTTTAACACTAAGTATATCTGTCAACATTCTAATTCAATTTGCTCATTCTTGTTCTTGCACCATCAACATAATACAAATCTGCACTACATCCTTATTGAGACATTTTAACATACATTCAAACTAATTTCCTCTACTTAGAAAAAAAAAACGTTCTAAAATTCTTCTACCTCATGACTTGTACTCCCGCCTGTACTCTTTTTACCCATAAAAAAGACAAGAGAGAGACAAGAAAGAGAGAGAGGGAAAGTGAGAAAACAAGCCACCAGGTCCAGGACTAGAACCGCGGTCGGCCATATGGGGTTTTAACCACTACACCATCTGCCAGCTCCAATTAAATCACTTTTTAAACATTTAGATGAGAGCAGAGACAACAGAATTAATACAGTTTATATGGATTGCTATAGCTTTGGCTTATAATAGCTGTTCATCTTTCTCTTTTTTTTTTTTTTTCCAGATTGTCCACTGATTTAATAGATGTTCAAACCTAATTTAAAGAAAAGAGGCCAGGCAGCAGGTGGCGTACCAGTTACGTCACCGGACTCCCACATGGCTGACTGCGGTTTGAGTACCAGATCCAGTGGCTTGAAAATCATACCAGGCACATGTGCGTGCAAGCCTAAGATCTCAGGAGAAGAATGGAAGAGGGGATTGTGGCCTGGCCATACCCCCTGGAGGGTGATTTCTCACTTTCCCTCTCACTGTCTGTGTATGTGTCTCTCTCTCCCCACCAAATGCACACACCCTAAGGCAAAAACCTCTTTAAGAAAAAGGAGAGGCTAGCTTCTTGGTTCAGCA